ACCTGCTCCTGGGTGGCCAGGCTGGCAGCTATCCTGCCCTAGACGGCCACTTTCCTGTGCCTAGTGCGGAGGTCGTAAATGAGGTCCACGATGTCCGCACTAGACCAGCCTGGTCCCGGGAAGAGGCGGAGGGCTGGGTGGCAGCGGGTGGCTGGCTCAAGCTGTGCCAGGTGCAGGGTCTGCTGGCTGGGTGCTGGTAGGCTTGCACCTGGCACGGGCACTGTAGCCAGCCTGTGCCCCTTTAAGGGCTCCGGGGCCGGGAGGGGGGCAGACAAGTTTCCCTGGTGGTGCCCAGGGTGGCCACCAGGGCAAGCTGGGGAGGGCTAGCCTCCCACTAGTTCGAATTAAGTGGCTACACAGCCCTTAATTCGAACTACTTAATTCGAACTAGGCGTTAGTCCTCATAGAATGAGGTTTACCTAGTTCGAATTAAGCGCTCCGCTAGTTCGAATTAAGTTCGAACTAGCGGTTTGCATGTGTAGCGCCTAGCAAAGTTAATTTGAACTAACGTCTGTTAGCTCGAATTAACTTTGTAGTGTAGACATAGCCCAGCTGGTGACCCTGCCTTAGGCGATCAGTTCTGGTTTGCTAGCCCTGAGGTTTGTAATCTGATTTCATTTAGATTTAAGCATGTAACTGTTCTGTTTGTTTGGCTCCCCTTGTGTGGTTACTGCCTAGAAATTAATAACTCTCATTGTTAAGAAGAAAAGAAGAAGATGAGTGGTGGTGGTCGGGGACTCCCTCCTAAGATGGATAGAGCCATCCATCTGCTGTCCAGACCTGGAATCTCGAAGTGTGCTGCTTACTAGGAGCTCAAATTCAGGATGTGACCAAGAGTCTTCCAAAACTGATCAAACCTTCAGATCGCTACCCTTTCCTGCTTCTCCACGTGGAAACTAACAGTACGGCCAAGAATGACCTAGAGTGGGGGCACTGCAGATAATGTAGCCCTGGGAAGAAGGATCGAGGAATTTGAAGCGCAAGTGGTGTTCTCGCCCATCTCCCTGTTGAAGGAAAAGGTCCAGGGAGGGATGCTCAGTCAGAAAAACAAAGATTGTAGAGCAGATTGGTTTACCGGGGAAATCCTTGGTGAGCTTACACACACAAAGGAAGTTTACAACAAGAGGAAACTTGGACTGATGATTACGGAGGAGTGTAAATAGGCACAAACGCCATGCTCATTTCCCGGGATGCGACTTTATTATGACTCCCTCCTCCCCCCTGAGTTACATAGAGTCCCACGGTGTATCTTGTCCCAGAGTAACCCTGGCCTTGCTCACGCCAGCTGGTCATGCCCGAGGGATTAAGAGGGCGGAGTAGAGGGACTCGGGCCTGCCCTCTCTCCCGAGTCCCGAACCAGGGCCTTAAGACAGGGAGAGCACTCCTTGTTCAGTTAGCTACCCCTAAACTCACCCGCTCGCATGGTAAACGGCCCCGCCCTGGGCTGCTTCCTACTCCACCGGTCCCTGAACCCGAGTTACCTCACTTGGCACCGGCCTTACCCATCTCCTGTCCACAGTCCTTCTCCCCCCTTTTCCCTTTTGAAGTTTGGGTAGGTAGGCTGGCGTGGGACGTCATCTCCCGGCAATCTCCTCCATCGCACCTGCTCTGACGTCATCCCCCGGTGTCTCTGGGGTGCGCCACGCGGCAGTGATGTCACTAGCCTGAGCTGGCTGGATGATGCAGTGGGCACTCTCAGCCAACTGATCATGGGTGTCCCTCTCCCACAGACCCTGCGCGGCGGCTTCGGCTGCTTCCCCACGGGTCTCCTTGCCTGCAAATCCCCTCTCCCAGGCCTTCCCTGACTGCCCCTGCGTGCGGGGTTGCGGCACTCCACTACAAGGAGTATAAACATATTGCTCCAGAATGCAAGGGAGTTATCAGGAAGATGAAAGTACAATTGGAAATGTAGCTTGCAGGGGATGTGAAGGGTAACAACACAGGTTTCTCCAGGCAAGTTAGCAAGAAGAAGGTGATCAGAGGGGATGTGGGGCCCTTACTGGATGAGGGAGGTAACCTAGTGACAGATGATGTGGGAAAAGCTGAAGTACTCAATGCTTTCTTTGCCTCTGTATTCACGGACAAGGTCAGCTCCCAGACTACTGCACTAGACTACTGGGCTACGTCTAGACTGGCCCCTTCTTCGGAAGAGGCATGCTAATTTCTAACTTTGGAATAGGGAAATGCACGGGGGATTTAAATATCCCCCGCGGGATTTAAATAAACATGGCCGCCGCTTTTTTTCCGGCTTGGGGA